TTTTTTTTTTTTTTTTTTTTTTTTGGACCATTTCTCGATTTATGCGTGTCATCCTTGCGCAGGGGCCATGCTGCTAATCTTCTTTCTCTGTATCGTTCCAATCCTTTTAACGGATGTCCCGAAAGACTTGTTCTTCAAATTTGAACTTTTTATTGAAAGACTTTTTTACAAGTAGGGGGCGGGACAACAAAAAAATAACACCCACAAACTGTTGAGATACAGATCCAAGTTCGAATCCAGACACAATCAGATGACCAGAACAAAATAATTCTAAATTACCTGGGGCAGGTCAGCTCAACGACGATAACTGAAGGCCGTCGCCTTCAAACAACCAAACAAACAAACAGCTGCTGGAGACTGGCTCTAAAACGAACACAGTCCTTCGGGACATCCGTTAAAATTGGAACGATACAGAGAAGATTAGCATGGCCCCTGCGCAAGGATGACACGCATAAATCGAGAAATGGTCCAATTTTTTCATAAATAAAAGGGAAAAAAAAAGAAAAAGAAAAAAAAACGAACACACAACCATTCTTTCTTTTTTTTTCCTCCAACACACAACCATTCTTTCTTTTTTTTTTCTCCAACACACAACCATTCTTTCTTGTTTCCTTCCCACCCAACGCCAGCAGCTCTGCTTCTTTTTGTTTCGCAGACTAAAAAACGATTAATTCCTCTCAATCAAATTATTTGATTCCAATTCTGACGGATTATTTGATTCGACTTTTGACGAATTATTGTAATTCGACTTTTGACTCCAATGAATTCTGTAATGCTCTAGCCGCCTCCATTTCCGATCACTTCATCTTCCATCACTGCACTGTCCTTTCGTCTGCTCCCCGCCAATTGCCGTGCTGTCGTCATTTCCCATAAGTTAAGAACGACCCCCTGAGAGACAACCGGAATTGCCACATATCATCACAGCTATGTCGATCTCAACACACTGTTCAGCACCCTCGCCACCTCCTGTTCATCCACCCCCGCTGATCCCACCTGCCAAGGACCTACCTCCACCTCCCATCCTCCACCTGTTCACCCACACTTCGTCACACAGCTATGTCGATCTCAACATACTGTTCGACTCCCCCGCTAGCCCCACCTGCCGAAGACCTACCTCCACCTCTCATTCTCCACCTGTGCACCCGTTCAGTGCCGTCATCGACAGCCGTTTCCAGGACAACCATAACGACAAAAAACAGATACGATTTTGAAGACACTCCTCCGCCCAAAGATCCGCACGGCTTCATGAGATCAAAGCAGTTGCATCGAGATAAGTTGGCCTTCTTTTGTCCTTTCCTATGTGGCTCCGGAAAATGGAAATCGACGTAACAAAGAAAGAAGAGCAAAAGCAAACTCTCTCTGAACATGGTTACAGTAGTGTTCTTCTACTTCTCTTCTTCTTCTTCGTGACTCTTCACACTGTGCAGTTGGCTCTCTCTCTGCGTTAGTTGTGTGTGATAGCGAGTACAGCAGTCAGGTGGGCTGCGCAGTGTCGCTCCTGCCTGCAAACTCTGTGGAACATCGAGGCCGATGTCAACTCTCTCCTGAACAGCGAAATGGAAGAGCAAAAGGCACACACGCGACACCCCCTGCTCACCATCTTCCAAACGACGGCGGGAATCGTTTCAATCGTCACTGCCCTTGTAGATCCTCTTTTTTCCTTGTTTTTGCGTTCACCGAGATCGACTTCAATGCTCCTGGACGACGAATTGGAGGGGTACTAAGAAGAAAAGAAAAAGGGAAAGGGGACATGCAAGATACACTACTTACCATCATCCAATCGACGGCGGGAATCGCTCGAGTCTTCTCTGTTCTTCTTCCAAGAAGAACAGTCCTCGACCACCTCTTCTTCGCCATCTACTCTTCCTTCTCCATCGCCGCCGCCGCTACCGTCTTGATCCTCTTCCTCTTCGTTCTCATGGCCATCCCAATTATGATCATCGCCATCGTCAGCGTCATCAAGCTTGTGCTCGCTTATTCGAAACTTGACTTCCACGTCATCATCTCTGACGTGGCAGCGTAAACTCTCCTCTATCACCCTGCAACTTGGGGGCAAGGGAATGCGAAGACGCCTGCGCAACTGCAGCTGTCGCCCGTCGCGATCCCGGTCCTCCACGTGCACCACCAGCCATTGACGACGAGGTTCTTCCCCTTTTTCCCCCAAGTCGCGACCTCCTCGACCATCTGGATCTCGGTTGTCTACCGTCGCCAGCTCGTTCTCGCTTCCCCCTCCAGCGTCACCCTGCTCCACTTCCGCTTCGACGAAGCGAAATCGAGAGGACATCGAGCTCGCCACGTCGGCGCTGCCGTCCACATCATCATCTCCATCGCCGAAGAACACGTGGACGCGCACAGTACCGACATTGACGAGCGCCTCGATGGTATACTTCGCCTTCAACGAGACAACAGATGCTTCTTCCCCTTCATCCCGCTTCCCATTTGCATTTGCTCTCCCTACAGGGCAAGCCGGCGAGATCGAAGACGGCAAAGAACGCGTCGTACCGGTTTTCTCGTCTGGGTTTCCTAACGTCGAAGAGGAGGAGAGAGATAACCTTTCTAAGCGAGGCAGCGATTTCCCATTCCTAAAAGCGGTCCCGCTTTCCCGCTCGTCGTTTCCCATTGGTAGAGCTGGGTGCTGGCAGCGTCGCTCCCACCAGCACGGCACTTCAGGTAAGACTTCCCGCCGCCGATATGATTCCCCCCCTGCCGACTTTCTGGGCCGATCTGCGCACCGACAACGCTCTTACCCCTGAAGGATTCCCGCTCCCATCTGCTTAGTATGGGAAACGACAAGGGGGACAACTTTCAGCTTCCCTCCGTTGGCATCTTGAAGACGTTCGGAAGACTTTCCGGTCCGATTTGGCCGCACACACTTCCCATATCTGTGTGTAGACTTTTAGATCCTATCTGCTCTACCCTCAACTTCGAGCCCGCCAAGATGGATCACACTTCCCCTCCCTCTCATGGCCTCATATGCTGTCCCTCCTTTGGAGCGTCATGGCCGCCTGTGTCCACCTGTCCATAAGGCCGGAAAGAGCTACTGAACACGTGGCACCAGCTTTGAGGACCATTCCCTTCCAGCTCACCTGCTGTTACCACGTGCCCGTTACTTCACAGCTACAGGCTACAACGCAACGCAGAAGGACACTACCCGTAACGTAAGGGGACCGGTAACGTCACGGATAAGATCATAATCGGCCCGGTAATTTAACTGATGTCCCAGAGGGCACGCATACGGAGAAGCTTAGGGGCTGACCCGACAGGACACTTCCCTATCACGAAAAAAAAAAAAAAAAAAAAAATCGAAATGCCCCCAACGTTTGCGTTTATTTGCGGCGTGCCCCTGTAAAGGCTGACTTACCCTGTGGTGCCCCTCGGGCCTCTGAAAATTTCCGCAGGCCCCTGTCAGCATGGGGCATAACTTTCCGATATGCCCTTACTGGACCGGTGGTTGCGGTTCGTCCGTGGGTCCTTGAAATGCCCTCACGAGGGTCACATATTTTTCTGTGATGCCCTTGCAGCAGTGGTGGCAGGAATTCAAATTCAATGTGGTAGGCATTCCACCGCCACTGAAAAAACGGTCTGCATGTGTGTGTGTTGTGTGTGTGTTGTGTGTGTGTTGTATGTGTGTGTGTGTGTGTGTTACGTGTGCGCGTGTTGGGGGGGGGGGGGGGGGGGGTGTATAAAACACGACCATCCCATTCAGAATGAGACACTAGACATTGTGGTTACGTCCAATGTTAGGCAAGGGGAGAAGGGGAGTAGTTGGGTACAGGATACATCAAGGCACATATTAGATAAGGAGCAGGTTAGCAACGTTAGAGTTAGTAGGTTAGCAGTGGTTAGGAATGGGTATGAGAACCCAGTCGTAGGGGGGGTGCACGCCCTGAAGCACGCTTTTCACTGCTTAGCACCCATAGCAGCTCATCGGAGGGATTAGTCGTTAGCAAGGCTCCTATTAGCACAGAGGGTGGTAGGAAGTTGTAGTCAGGGGGTCGTGGGTACACACAACATGGGCGACTGGGGGTAAGGGTACAGAGGATCCGTACTTGAGGAGTCATGTCTGGAGAAGAGGCGTCGTCAGTCGCTGCCATAGCTGCCATAGCTGTCGAGCTTCGGTGCAGCGATGGATCAGGAGCTCCGTTGGTCGAAGCACGGAGTGGCCGGCCCAAGAAGGTGCCTTGCCAGCCGCAGACAGACGGTTAGCTCGCCTGGTTGCGTAGTATGAGGGTGGCGCATGCAGATGAGCAGCAGCAGCATTGCTGCATAGTGATGAGGTAATCTTTGCGCGTAGAAGAGTCGGAGGCTGAGTGCAGGAGGAGGGTAGAGAGGTGGAATGCAGCTGAATACATAGTAATTGTGATATGGCGGGTTTGTGGTAGTGGGCGTAGGAGGAAGAGGTATTCGCAGCAGGGGAGGGTTAGCGGAGGCTGCCATTGCATTGAGGGGTATACGTGTTTTGCCTTGTAGATGGTCATGGCGGGGATGGAGTGTAGGGAGGTAGCGGGGGGGGGGTGTGACGCGCAACCTCACGCCCTGTGCTGTCTTTCGTTCGGAGTGTTAGGCGTGCGGAAAAAGACCCAGAAAAACAGCAAGATGGGGTGTGCCAAGGATTTTTGGAAATTGAGTGTGGGGACACAGATGAAACTGAAATCCCCCGTGTTGGTCCAATGAAGCAAGTCAATTGCTTTCGCGCGTCGCGGAATGCGCGCGCGGGCACGGCACGAAAAGAGAAAAATCCAAATTCAATCCAAAAAGTATTGTCGGGCTTCCCACCGAGCTACAACCCGTCGTTTAGAACGGAAAGGCTTTGGCACGCTCCGCGTGTCTCGTTTTCGTATCAAATCTCGTCGTCGTTCGATGGTCAGTTCCGAGTCCGACGTGGATGGTCTCAGTCGCGTGGCTCTTTCTTTATGCTCGTCTTCACTCCGCACATGGTAGTGGAAACCCCTGGATTCGTAGCGCTCAAAACGCTGGCATTCGGTGCATAGAGTGCGCGGGCAGTGGGGTTCTGCTGCCGTCCACGGGATGATGATCAACTCGTTGAATGGCAACAATATCGAGTAAGGTGGGAAGTGCGTATCGATAATGACAAGCCCAACCTCTACGAACCATGAACAACGATTTGCCGGAGGGAAGTAATATCGTCCGCCGATTTGTGCAACGGCTTCTCGTACGTCCCACTCACATACACGTGTCCTTCCCTCGTTATACGGAAAAGGCCGTGTTGGGACGAGAGGTACGGGAGGCTGGTGCCCGATCGGAGGGTACTGGTCAGTCCACATATCAATCAATTGTAAGGACCTTGCGACGTCATCAAGAAAAGAAAACACTTGCGCAACTCGTAAACAATTTCCTTCAACACGAGAGGGAGAGAGAGAGAGAAAGAAGACACTTCGGCAACTTGATCATGCATATAACTAAGGGACCGATCCGCGGCTCAGGGTTAGTGAGCCAGTGCGACGTTGATCCCAGGCGCCTTGTTTCTCGAAGCCACCTCGTGGTTCGGCTGCTGATGTCGGACAACATAAGGCAGATGGCATGCGCAGTGCACTCAAAGCTACAGATCTAAACACTCTTGTATTTTCAGACAAAATCCCGACGACAATCGTCTAATCAATGCCAAAGAGACGCGTATTTCCATACATTCATTCACTCATTCACTGTGGAAGATGCGAAAAATGAGCCATGCACAGGAAAAGATGGATTGCTTGCACAGTACACACGCATCCACCGTTCACAAGACAAGAAGACGGGGTCCTTGCGCGGGAGGATTACCCAGGAAACTAATGGAAGAGTTCTGGAAGAAGTTCTTTCACGCAAGGAAAGCATACAGATTCATACTCATCCAGAGGAGGGAAAGAGAGAGAGAAGGAGAGAAGCATCAAGACACATCATTATTCAAAGATAGAGGAGAAGGGGAAGGTGAAGGGGGAGGGTCGAGATAGGAGATGGCGCAACCCAAAAGAAGGAAGTTCAGCGTTGTCAGAGAGAAAGATCTGCAACAACAAAGGCGCATTCGCCGTTAATTCCAATATGGCCCCGGACCAATAACTCACTCAACTCCAATCATCGACCCTCATACCCGCACGGACGATCCCGGCCGCCGCGTGCTAACTCCCACCACTGCGGTCGTCACCCTGCTGTCATAGACTCGACACGGTTCGCCCAGATCACACAGTCCGTCGTGGCGATCCAGCGTGCAACTGGCCAGCCTATCTTCAGCTCGACAGGACTTTCCTACTCACACCAAACACTCTGCCTAGCCACTACTTCCCGAAAGCTGGCTTGAGAGTCGAGAACGTAAGAGAGATATGCGGACGCGCTTGCGGGTTTTATAGCTGCGACAGGGGAGATAGAAGAGGGAGAAAGTGACGGGGAAGCTGAGGTGTAAGCGGAGAAGCAGGAGGAGAAGACTTTGAGAAGAGTGCTCAGTGAACGCCATATTGATCCCTCGGAACTCAAGGTTCAACCAATCAGATTCGCCGCGCAATAGGAAGATCCTATTGATCCACGCATCTGATTGGCGAGCTGGAGTTATCGACGGATCGTCCGGGCGTCGTGCGTTGGACTCAGAGGGTGAGAAGAGAAAAGGCGCGAGAAGTAACGCAAGACGGGTCCAAGATTCAGATGATCAAGAAAGAAAAAGGGGCGCGCCGAGAGCAAGGCGAGAGAGGGAGAGAGAGAAAGAAAACAACTACGGAGCAAGAGAAAGAGGAGGGAGAAGGGGAAAGGAACGTGGGAGGGAGCGATGCGGGGGACAGAGAGGAGAAAGCTTTGCACGCGCGGCCTGTCAATAAAAAGAGAGAAAAAGGCACCGAAACAGTTACAGCCTAATTCAAAATTGAAATCACCATATCTGCGCGTGAAAGAGCGACGCGAGAAAAGAAAATCCTATGCCTATTCGTATTCGCACAAAATTTCGAGAGTTTTCCCCGACCCGACCAAGAACATTCACACACACGAAAAGAACACGTCGATGTTCCGCTTATCCCGGAATTCCCAACTGCCGAGCCCAATTCCCAGTGCGCTCGCTAAGGCGCACGTAATTTCCTATGTATTTCCCGAATTGCAGAAAGGAAAAGCAGAACCCGGGAGTCGAAAAATCTTTCCGAAAGATGGGAGCCAAGAACGCGGTACCCAAAATCAAGAAAACGAAACGGGGTTTTTATGGGGTTGGTATGATACAAGCAAAAAAGGGGTACGAAAGATAACACGGGTTCGGGAAGTGGTTCGTCACATATGTGACGCGCAGGGGGTTCCGAAATTATGCAATCTCTTGATTGCATGTCATGGCGGAACAAAGGGATGCATGAGGTACCAAGCGTATCAACAAATGATCCGGCCAGAGTTCATGTTGACGCCAACTTCAATTGCAATTGTCTGTTGCTGGAATCCTCGATGGTCGTCCAAGTGACGCCATCATCGTCCGCTGGTTCTCTGTGTGCTCTGCACCCCAGCTGGTTGCTGCCTGTCGAATCAGAGCGTGAGTTGACGTCGTCGTCGATGACGTGATCTTCGTGAAGCTTACTGATTTGTGCCGTTTTCCCCCGCTGATTGGATGAAGAGAGATGAGGGAGAGAGGGGGGGGGGTAGTGATGTTATTGGGATCTACCTCCTAGTTGGAATAGGCCAATAGAGGCGGTACATGGAGGGGATTTCACAAGGTCGACGGGGAGGGAGTGGGGGTAGGAAGCGATTCATTCCTTCCATCGTCACCGGAAGCTCCTCATATCGGATGATCCGGTGGAAGTGGGGGAAGTGATCGCCGCTGCGAGGGAGGGAAGCAAGGTAGTCGCGATAGAAGGAGGAGAGGGTGCGGAAAAGCGCCGCTCGAAAGAACTCGTAGTGGTGGCAGGCGGGGATTGTCCTCGTGGCAACGCAGTAAACCTCTACCATGTTGCATCGCTCCCATGCAGCGCTGAACAGCAGGAGATGCCAACAAAACGTGGGGGCAGCGGATTGAAGGGAGGCGTGGGGGTGGACGGTGGCGAGTAGGCAGGTAGAATAGAAGTCGCGGAAGGGATGGGAAGGGAAGGTGACGGGGGTACGGATCTGCTCGAGGGTGAGGAAATCAAGGGGTCGGCGGGACAGCGTCCGAGGACGAAGGCCTATCGCCCGCATCAGTACGTGGCCGAACTGGGGGACGAGTGGGGCTGGAGGAGGAGGGGGATCGGCTCCGTCTCCGTCGCGCGGTACTTAAGGTGGCGGCTCCAGGGTCGCCATCTTCGGGCTTCGGCGGCTCTGGATCCCTGGTCGGATCGTTACCGATGCGCAGACTAGCTTCGCTGGCGAACTCTAGCTGGCGCTTCCCGGTGACAATTTCTTCACGCTTTCACTTTGCTTCCGGATCTTCCGCCTCCGTTCCCGTACGCGTCGCTTCCTCCGGCAAGGCTTCCCACTCAGATCCGGTTTCTTCTTCCTCCTCTTCTCCTTCGCTCAACTCGCCCTCGCTATGTTCACTATAGCTTCCCTCCTYCGATGTTTCCTCGTCCTCGTCTTCTTCGTCGTCGWCGATCACCACTTCCTCCACCCTTGGATAAAAGGCGTGAGGGATGATATCGTACGGCTTGAGATACTCCTGCCGCGATGGTAGCGTATCCTCGTCCCTAGGTTCCTCAAAGCACGCAGTCCACTGAAGGTACGGATCCAATGATCGCTCGAAAATGTACGGAGCAGGACTGTCGTCACTCTGTGAATAGATGTCGGGCGAGAGATTGTCCGCCAATTGCACGATCAGTGCGATGAGCTCCTGCGCAATCAGCTGGCGGCGCCCCGGCTGTACCGATCCAAAGAGAAAGCCAAGAAGATCGCCCTCCACATCAGTCCTCCAAGCTTGGATGATTAGCAGCTCCAGATTTTCGATCCACGTAGGATGCCCGCTGGTCTGTGTCCACGCCACCTTTACTCTGGCCAAGCACAAAGACAACTCCTCAAAAGTTTCGCGCCACAGCCGCCAATGTCCAGGATTGATAAGAGGGACTGAAAGAGGCTCGAACAAGAAGGAAAGAGAAGGATGAAGATCGGATTGCCAGAAGGTGGGGAAGAGAGAAGGGAGACCAAAGATAGAGAGAGGAGCGAAAAGATCGGCGTGGTTCATTGGGGATGTGGGAAGGGGACGAGGGTTGGGATCGCAACTTGCCGCTCGCGCGGTGTTGCACTTTTTCTAGCCGAGCCAGTTCGGGCGACCGGAAAGCCAACAGACTGTCACGCAGGATTTTGTATGTGATTGCAGTAAATAAAATAAATTAAATAATGCAAATCCCTTCCTGTTGTGTGCGTCCGGCTTCGAGCGCGACCCTTCAATTGCGGTCTTTGCCGGTCCCCGGTCTTAGGAATCTTTTATTTTGATTCAGAACAGCAGAGAATTATGCAAATAATAATCATAAAATTATGGGGTGCTATGCATGCATCAATTATGTCAATCTGATTTTGAGAACTGTGACAGAATCATCCACGATAGCAATCTTCAGATAAGAACAATGCAAGAAGCAAGACCGACTGACTCGAGCAAAGACAAAATCAAATGAATGAGGGAAGAATGAGAACTCATAATAATCTCAGAAAGTACACATAAACGAGCATGGTCAGCACCTCTCAAGAGTCCTCACTTATCCCTCTGGTCAGTCTCTCTCAATCTCTTTTCACTGATCTTCTCTGGTGCCGAGACCCTCGCCCACGTACAATCTGAGACTGAGGCTTCGTGGCGAAATGCCACCTGTAGCCAGCAAGCTCTGAGCATGACCATCCGAGGCACATGACACGGTAGTTAACCATGGAGCAAAACTCCTCCCACAAAGTAGGCAGTCCGTCCACTGAAAAGACTCCTAGTCTGAGGTAGGGATACTTGGTGGGCTCGGTCAGCGCCTCAACGTCGATCACCGCCGGAGAGATGTACCTCTTTGCCAAACCAATCACATACAGCCAACTCGTGCCATCAGTGAGAGGAGAAGGGACTGGAGGCCTAGGATAGTCAGTATAAAGCATCGGCCCGAAGCTGTGAATCAACGTAGTGCCATTCTCATCGAACTCCCTCTCTCTCTGCTCAAGGTATTCGGTGGCTGAGATCCAGACTGGATCGAAAAGTTCATGAGTCTCCTTGCCCTTCTTCAGGTAAGGCCTCAGATCGTGGATAGTGCCATCAGCAAAACTGGTCTGGACAACGAAGATTGACAGATCTCCCTGTCTGAAACCAATGATACTAACATACCGATAACGAAATGCCTCTTTGCATGAAAACCGGTTGAGGTTGGCCAACACTGACTCACTGACAGGCGTAGACAGATTTGTGTTGATGAGTATTCTTGCCAGTGCAAACTGACCAGATGGTCCTGGAGAGCTGGTTACCTGAACTGATTGCAAAAAAAAAAAAATTGTTTGTTGAAAGCTGAATGCCGACAACTGAATGCTGAGAACTGAGTGCTGAAGACTAATGCTGAAGACTGAATGCTGAAAATTAATGTTGAAGACTGATTGCTGGAAACTGATCAATAATAATAAATGATTGTTGATGATTGATTGCTGATTAGATGATTGCTGGTTGTCCGGATAAGTGAGTTGTACTTGTTGAGAGACAAAACACTCACTGGTGGCTGCTAACAGTCCTCCTTGCTTCCTCAATAGTACCCACAGAAGTTATGGTGGCACATAGCCTGCCATTCTTATCATGCAAGTAGTATGTGTATTCGATTTTTGTATGATTCCTCACGAGGACCAGTGCGTGTTCCATCATCATAGCAGTCTGCTGGTTGTATTCCTCAACTGCACTCTCCCTCCAGGTCTCTTCAGAGTCCTGATACAGAGGGCAGGAGATTCTAACTGTGTTACTATCCTCCATATCCTTACCGAACTCCCCCTACATCAGTTCACCCAACCCAAGACGGGTAACCTTTGGACAATATAGGTATGAAAAGGCTGCTGAGTTGATGGTTGTTTCGAATAGTTGTTCCAGATGGCCATTTCCAACTGCAGTTTCTGACTACTGAATCACTTGCTGAATTAATTAGTAATATGTATGCCGAACTGACTGCCGATTCGATTGCAGATTCTGTTGCTGATCTGATTGCAAAATTGTTTACTGAATTGATTGCAAAATTGCTTACTGAACTGATTGCAAAATTGCTTACTGATCTGATTGCCTTTCCAAGTACCACTGGTCAGAACACTTGATCCTGGCTGCTTGGACTGATTACTTGTTGATCTGGTTGCTGCTCTAAAACTTGACTGGTCGCTAAACTGATAACACCGTTGTGTGTTGATCAATGCTAACAGTACTGAGTACGAAGGTCGTGTGTCGCAGAATCTGGTTTCAATCTGAGTTCATTTTCTGACTGTCCGAGTCTGCCTTCTTATTGTCTGAGTACGTCTTCTGATTGTCCGAGTCCGTCTTCTAATTGTCTTGAGTGCATCGCCCGAATGTTGTCCGAGTGCTTTTCTAGTAAATTTCTACTGTTCAACCTTTACTCTTGCTCACCAGATCGTCTCAAACCGGGAGCTAGCACTGTGCAGTTCGTACACGGGTTGGTTGCTGAACACTGTTATGAGAAAACAAAGTGCTATTCAGATATTGTTGGCTTGTGATTTTCGAAAAAGAGTCCAGGCTCCTTTGGCCTCAATCGAGTTTTGCCCTGGCTGTTTCCACAGTCTCCAGAGACGAACCAGTGCTGTGTAGTTTACCATCGTGACTTTATATAGCACGTATTCTCTATATTTTTCTCTTGTGACCATCCTGACAGCCTGTTTTCGCTGCTCCTGTCTGTGCGATTCCATGTCTTGGATAACCCCTGTTTTCCAACCCTCAAGCTTATCCAGGCAGATAGAGCCCTTGACTACCAATATCTCAGCGTCGCTCATGTTTCCCCTAGTGCGTCTCCACTTGAACTATGGAGTGTGGCTCTCTTAGAGTTATTTGCTGGAACCCGACTATGGAATAGAACTTTGTTGGCAATCAGGCCTACTCAAATAATAGTGGCAGACTGTCGGGGACGGCCTAATAAAGACTGAATGGCGGCGTCCAACACAAGACGACCAATCAACAACTCAGAGAGCTATATTATACTGCATTCTCTTTTCGAGAGTTAACTCACTCCCAGTTTTCCCACATACCTTGACTGGACCCGTTCCTTCCCAGGCCTGTGATGAATGTGTTTAAACGGACTGTCCCGTCGGTTGAAGCGACCTAATCTCGCTTGTCTCTTATCTGCAATTCTACCGAGTTGCTTACTTCCTTAATGCGGTAGTAATAGCGTCTGTCGTAACCCGTAGTTAGGGCCTTCGGGCCACTCCTCGCTACTGATTCTTACTGATAAGGGTCAGTTGATGATCCTTCACTTCGTAGGGACTTGCTAGCTGCATTATCGCGGTATAATCAAGGCCACATTGGTAGTGACGGGTAATACAGACARCTTTTCTCCGAATTAAATCTCGTCCCAACTTTGCTAAGTAGACTCTTAGTCACCATCAAGTAGGAACTTTGCAAGAACATAGAAGATTTTTCTTAGAGCTGCCTTTCTTTTCCCCATCTAATCAAAGTCAAAGCACAGAGCACCAACCAATAAAAATCATCTCCACATTCCCTTTTTGACATTCTGGCGAGGAATAAGCCTAGAATATTCAGCCAAGTACCTGCCGGTAACCACCAGGCCAACAAGTGCATTCGGCCGAATATTCACCCACACACACATGCACGTGCAGGGCTGTAGTCACGCACCCGGTGTATCTCGATGCACGAACGAACTCACACCATTATGGGTAACCATTCAATCAGGTGAGCACATGCAAACCTTCGTTATCACGTATCTGTACAATCACCCGGTGCAGTATCGCGGTGCAGGCACATAGTGCAAACTCACGGTGCAAACGCACGATGCAGTCACACGGTGCAGACACACGATACTAGCACACGATGCAGTCATGCAATGTAGGCACACTGCGCAGTCACGCGTTGCAGGAACACTGAGCAATTACGCAATGCAGGCACATTGCGCAGTCACGCGTTCCAGGAACACTGAGCAATCACACAATGCAGGCACATGGTGCAGTCACTCGATGTAGCCACACGGTGCGGTTACGTAACACAGCTGCACGGCGCAGTCACACAGTGCAATCACTTGGCATAACTGCACGGTGTAGCCGCGTGGGACAGCCGCATGGTGTGAACATATGGCATAGGACCCACAAATACAAAGGTTGCGCGTCTTTCTTAACCTTTCCATACGATCAGATAGGCCACTTTACGCAGGGGATTACACCCAATAGGCAAGTGTCAATACCAAAATTACCCAACCACTTCGACCTTGCTAAATCCCTTAGGATAGTAGTCGTACGTTGGACTCTTTTCATAGCCTGCACGTCTCCAACTATTGTTATGAGTTGGGGCTTCCCCCCCTTTTTTGTTCACTTATTCTCGCAATCTACTGAGAGTTTAACCCTATCAAGATGACACGTAATCGATTAACAATGATCAATTGGTTTAATTAACTGAAATACGAGAGAAGGGGAGAAAATTGAAGTTTTTGAGTCAAAAGAAATTATCTTGCAATGATCACCATCTTATCTGAGAATTTCCGGACTGAGCGGCCACAAAGAAGCGCATCAACATCTTCTGACAGCAGTACCCGTCACAAATTGAGGGTCACTCAGAGGTAGCAAGATAGGTGGTGAGTAAGATTGTCTCCAAAAGAAACGAGGCTCTCTCAACAACTGGTTCTTGGTCGAGCAAATCACACAAGCTCCGATGAGTAATGAGGAGGTCTGTTTCCGCAGCATCATGAGGGAACCGTTTCGTGGAAAGCGCGCTGGTCATCACGAGCCTTCCCCTAACATCTCTTTTACTACCTAGAAGTGACGTCTTGGATCCCTGATGTGACGAAGTCCTGGTTATTCCAAGCTGAGTAATTATAACATCAACCACTACGCCGTTTTGGCCTTCTCACTGTACCCCTTTTCCAGAAGCGCCCGCCTATTGGCTATGTATGTTCTCTCCACACTCCTCGTTCTCCCCTGGAGCGAGCTACTCGAGACCAAATGCACGCGTCACCGTCACACGCCCCTTCCTCTTCTTCTTCGAGTCAGCGAAGAGCTCTCGACGAGTGCATCGTGATCGTACAAGTATTAACTGCCAGAGGAACGAGAGTCGGAGCAGTCCACAACGCTGGTGTTGACATCAACCTTGCTCAGCTTGCATGAGTTCCCCAGTGCTCGTTGGCGAGAGAGTGCCTCCCAAGAAAACAGTTGGCATCACCACCTCACAAACTCGCCCCCCTTCGCTACCTGTCTCAGCCTCCCCATTTCGGGTTCAGTCTCGTCCACCCTCTTGCCCGCGCGTCTTGCATTTCGAGAGCGCATCCTTTTCTCTCGCTGCCTGATCACTCGTGCATCTTGCCGATGCTTCATTCCTCCCACACGAGCGTGCCACGCGCGCGTTGACTACTCGATCACCACTTCTCAACCCCGCTGTCTGTCTCAACCCCTCTCGCTAGCTTCACACACTTCGACTGTGTCACGCGTACGCATGTAACCGCCTCGTAGCTCATACCACGTTTCTCAGAATGAAAAAAACAAAAACGCTGACCTTCGATGCCACGCGTCACACACGTCCTTTCCCTTTGTTTTGCTTCTCTCCTCTCCCGCGGCCCCTCGGCGTCGGTTGTCGAGAGCTGGCCTCGGGTCCCTCCTCTACCCGGTTTGTGGCTCGATGATGCTGCTGGATCTCACCAGGCCTGTTCCAGAACCTGAGATCCGTCTCTCGGTCTGCCTCACTCATTTCGTTTTTCCCACCAGAGTCTCTCTCGTTGTGCTGTTCCTCCCTTGTCTCGGTCCCAGTTGATGACTCGGTCTCCTGGTAGATGACCGACACCCTCAAGCCCACGGTCACCTCGTCTCGTCTGCACCTCCGTTCCGCTGTCGGGGCAAATACCCTGACAAGGGTATTTGCCGGGGTTTTTCAACGTCAGACACTGTCTGATCTTTTCATTGAATTGATGGACTTGATGAGACTGACGTTTGCTAACCGTTTATTCAGACCTGGCCTACGACTAAGAGACCTAATTTTTTTTTAGAACCTGACGTCATCGACGCTGGACGGCATCGACGTCCGTGCAGGATGCCGGGGGTCGGCACTATCGTTCGCGGGTTTCGGTGAGGCCGCAGTAGTGTACGGTCGTGGGAGAACTAAAGTTAAACCTAATAGCCACGCGATTCAGAGCCTAAGTGGGCTAAAAAAAGGGTTGCGTCAGGGTATAGGGCCACGACGCAGAACGAATAGGAAGGTTTGTTTTTATTTCTTAAGGCTGCGGGGTTTGACTTCGAATTTGGAGGCCGAAAGGCTGATGCCGGGGCCTACCCGGCATCGACGTCCAATCAAGCCACCGGTCACGCGGCTAACCGGTATATGGCTAGGCCACAGGCAGGTAATGCCTGCAAGGCTACAGGCGGGAAGGAAGGTGAAGGCTGGGATCTTCATATAGAAGAGCAGCTCCTATCACTCTCGTGATAGGAGCTAGCCCAGTAGGTACTACATCAGATTGTCACCCTGCAGATGCAGGGATAAACTCGAAAAACCTGCCTACCTGGCGCAGCTCCTTTTGGAGCTGCATTTTGAATAGCGCGGTCAATCTCGACCGCACGATTGATCAGATCGCATGGCCGAGATTGGCCACGCACAGTTCATCATGGCCCCTGCGCAAGGATGACACGCATAAATCGAGAAATGGTCCAATTTTTTTTTCGATTCCCCAAAGGGAATCGAACTCAGGTCTGTATATCGACGAGATCCCTGCCGTTGGCTTACGCCAACGGCTTCAATAAGGCTGCGCCAGATGGCGCCTAGGGAAAGAGGGCTGAGGAGTGTAGTCCTCAACAGGTTTCGGAGGGCGCCCATTTTCAACGGGCAACCGTTTCATCCCAGGTAAGGTGATTTCCTTTTTTTTTTTTTTTTTTCCTAGATTCTTAAATTTTAGATTTTTCTTAGATTTAGTTTAGAATTTTTCTTTCTTTCTTTTCGTCTTCTTTTTTTTCGTTGGAACAGCCGTTCGTCTCGAACGAACGGGGTGGATGGAACTGCGCCAGACTGTTCCGTCGGGCTTTCACCGACTCATCAGGAGGTGGCCCCTTGACAACCAGCTTCTGCGCCTTAATAGGGCACCTATAATGTCCAGGTACACACACAGAGAGAGAGAGAGAGAGAGAGAGAGAGAGAGAGAGAGAGAGAGAGAGAGAGAGAG